GGGTTGCGATCCGTTGCCGGACACGAAAAAAAAAAAAAAAAAAAAAAAAAGAAAAGTTGCAAAAATAGTGCCCATCACCCAATTTTACCCAATATTAACATCTTAAGTAATCATGGTTCATTTACAAAAACTAGGAAATTAATGTTGATTCAATGCTATTAAATGAACCTTATTGATAGAGAACCTTTTTGACAGTCTGTCTTTAACAGGGGAGCAAGGTAATTCCTGAAAGGGAAATCAGGGTTATTAGGAGGAAATGGATACCTGGACAATAAAACCAGCAAATGTCCACTATAAGTAGACAGTAATAGTGTATAGAAAAGAAAATACTCCAGAATAAAAATGGAAAGAGCCTGAATCAGACCAAAGTTGACCTTAAAATTGGGTGGAGGGACAGAGACATCTTGAAATTTTGCACAGTATGATTAAAACTGTGCTATAGGGATATAAATCTGTCAAAGGTGAATAGAATATATTAGAGAGACTTGAGAATCCACAGAATAGGAATGACAACTTTGACTAGTGATTTGACATTGGCAAAAGACAAGATGACAAACCACCATAATGATATGAGGGAGACTGTAAAATTGATAAGTCCTAATGGTAGATTGGATATTGAAAGCAAAGGAAGAGAAGAGATCAATTATGGATGTTGAGATTTTGATGAGTGGTGCTTTTCACTGACAGAATTAGTGAATACAAGATGGCGAAAAGATAGAATGGAAGAAGAATTCAGTTGTGCCCAGAGGTAGCAACTGTGATAAGCTGAGGTTTATAACATTGCCAAGGGGGGGCGGGGGGGGGGACAAAACAGAAAACTAGGGAAAGAAAAGTAGAGGGATGAGAACAGAACTTTGTGAAGCATTTCCATTTAGTAGCAGGAGGACAGAGAAAAGTCCAAGAAGGAGCAGCTAAAGAGGACAAAAGAACCAGGAAAGTCCAGTAACTTAGAGATAGAGGAGGAGAGTGTTTTTTAAAAAGAAGCGATCAATATTTCCCGGAATATTTTCCAGGGAAATGTAGTAGAACATAACTGATAAGAGTAAGAAGTCATCAGCTTTCAGGAGACTTGTTTCAGGACAGAGGTGTAGGTGGACATTAGATAGCAGGGAAATTTCAGGAAGCTTGATGTTTTGCAGAAAGTGAGAGATGACAGATGATCAGCTTTCAGGAGACTGGTTTCAGGACAGAGGTGTAGGTGGACGTTAGATAGCAGGGAAATTTCAGGAAGCTTGATGTTTTGCAGAAAGTGAGAGATGACAGATGATAGATAGATAGGAAGAAAGATAGATCATGATAACATGATAGTAACACTGGTCAAGGAAAGATCTTTAGAAGGGAAAAAGACTTGTTATAGACCAAGGGGAATGTTCCAGTAGAGTGGGAGATACACCGAAGTTATGATTGATGGAATGAGATCCTTGAGGAGGTGAGCAAAAATGGAATCAAGGACATAAGTGAAGGGAACAACAACGGGAAAGAGAACATATCTTAACTGAGGTTAAAGGAAAGGAATGAACTTGTGCTGTGCACGAGAAATTTCAGGTGGAGAAGAGGAAGAACGTTGAGGAAACTCACATCTAATGCCTCAGTCTTCTTGGTAAAGTATGAGGTAAGACCAGTTTTGCTGACACAAATGACCATGCTACTCATTAGAAGGATATGTGTGGACCTCACTCAGACTTATTTAGTAGCCAGACAGAAAACTCATTTTGTAATTGTATTTTTCTCATTTTTAGGGATATTTCTTTCCTGTATGATGTTAAATATGTAAAAGGGGAGACTAGGGAGAATACAGTTTGTCCCCCATATTCTGACCATTCATTACAGCCACATGGTGGTGTCATTGTGCCTCATAAGGTAAGTAAAGTATTTGACAAATAATCTTCTCTCCCTGTCAGTATTTTTTAAAAAAATCATTTCCCCAAAATATAAAGTGGTGTCATACTATAAAGACAGCCTGCATTTCTTGTCAGTTTTCATAGCACTTTCTAATTATTTCTTCCAAACCACAGTTATTCACTTTAATCTAGAAAATATGGTATAGGAGACTTGATTCTTCTTTCCCCAGAAATTTACCTATAAACTTGTAGAATTCTTATTGTTGGTATCTTGCTAGATTGAATTTTAAATTTTATACTGAGTTTAAAAGAAAAGAGTCAATGAATTGCGGAATATATGGGACATGTATAGCTAATACTAGGACCAAATTCTCTAATTCATGGTTATTTTAAAAATATGTGCTCTGCTAAAGTTTTTTTGCCATTTGGTGTAAACTACATCACTAATATTGTTATTTCTCTAAACAAATCTCTCAACTTAATAAGTAGTATCCCTTTGGGACAGGAGTTAGGATTTGTGCAACTCAATTTTTTTCATCTATTAGTATATTCATTCTTTTCTTTTTTCTTTTTAAGCCAAAGACCCTAATGGATACTTTGGTTCCTGAAGAATTTCATATTGTGTCAAGTACAGGAGTTACAGGTTTAGAGTGTTATGATGAGTGAGTACTATGCTGAACATTGAATACATGACAAATTGAACTGTTTTCTTCTTCTTTGACATAGAAGAACATGAGAAGAGTACACTCTTGTATCTGCACTGAAATGAGGAAAACATTTGAGCTAGCCACCCTGATACAATTAAGAAAGATATAAAATAACTAATGAAAAACTTTGGGATTTTAGTGATTAAATTGTTTTCTGTCTTTCCCTCCCATTTAATTTTGAATTTTTTTTAAAAAAATGGAAGTTTGGCCGGTTAGCTCAATTGGTTAGAGTGTGGTGTTATAACACCAAGGTCAAGGGTTCGGATTCCCATACCAGCCAGCCACTAAAATGAGGGGAAAAAAGTGGAACTTTGTTCTGAATGCTTGATTATGCCCTTTAGGAATAGTTTTTAGCAATGATCATGGAAACAAAGGAAAGTAGCCCTCTAAGCCAGAATCTCATAATGCATGCTTCAGGGCTTTGCTCCAGACTGTAGACTAGTCATCTCATTTTCTTTGATTCCTGTTTATGGGATTGAAAATGGGATCTTGCTTCTATTTTCTGAAACAACACTTGAATTTTTCATAGTTTAAAACAAACAAACAAACCTAGAACTTTGGACTAGGTTTTAAAACAAAATATCCAAAGGCTGTCACTCTTTTGACCTTGTTCAGTATGTATGTTACATCACATTTCTTTATGATGGTGGGTTTCAGAACAGTATTTTGCCAAAGAGAACTAAATGGAACTCATTTTTTTTGTAAATTGTTACAAATTTTGGTATAATTTCAAAAAATTTTGCAAAACTAGGACAAGGAACTCCTGTATACCCTCTATCTTGTTACACTGGGTGTTTGCATTTTGCCTCATTTGCCTTTATGCACGTGCACACACACCCACACACATATTTTAAAACTATTCAAAAGTAAGTTTGAGACATTATGGCCCTCTACCACCAAATACTTTGGTGTATACTTCCTAACAACCCATTAGTTATAGATCTTTTGGTGACTTTTATTTTTAGCTCTATAATTTCTTCTACATTTATTAGCTAACACTTTATCATATGGACTCATGTATTTCTGTTTTATTTGATGGATTTTAATTCTTCACTATCGTTATTTATTTTGATGCTCAAATTTTTCTAGATTTGGTCAACGGCAGCTCCTTTGAGCTGGCTCTTGTGTTCTTTAGCTTTGTCCCCATCGTTATTTGAACACTTCCCTATTTTCTGGCTCAAGATTTCTAAGTTCATCTTGTATTTCCCAACTTCAGCCCTGGAATGAGCCATGAGTCACTTCTCAGGGAGTGCTGATTCCTTTTAGTGAAGAAATCAAGATTCTGAGTGCCAGGTGTGCTAATTGCTCCTGGGAAATTATTGCTTCTAGTCCCTCTCATACAGTCGTTTTTGAAACTGTATTTTGAGTATTTATATATTTCAGTAGAGGGCAAAACCAAGGGAAATGCTTATGAACTAGGTGAAGAAAAAAGTTCTATAAATAATAATGAATTTAAAGGATTACCATTTGGTTCTTGGAAAAGTTTCATTGTGATACTCATGGGAACAAGCACTTTCAGAAGACAAACATGGCTGAGAGTTAGGAAACCTGGGTTCTAGTTTCATCTCTGCTTCTATACATTTCATAACCTGTTTAGTCACTTAACTTTGTTGACTTCAATGTTATTATAACACCCTTACACCTTTGAAAAGTCATTTTTAAAAAAATGAATCAAGGAAATTTTTATATTCTGACCTAGTGAGAAATGTCATTAAATCTCCTTTACTAAGAAATGTTTCAAATATGATAAATGTCATTATATCTGTATCTGTAGATGTCTATAGATATTTAGGTATGATCTTGTGTGCAAATGATGGACCTTTTTGATTGCCTCCATGCTTTTTAATTCCATGAGGTTCTATGTTCATCATTTTGTGATATTTTCTAACTCCAGCCCTGGAATGAGCCATGAGTCACTTTTCAGGGAGTACTGATTCCTTTTAATGGAGAATGGTACTTGGAAACCAAGATTCTGGGTGCTAGGTATGCTAATTCATAAACAGGCCAGAAAATTTTCTTACATTAACATTTTCCTGTCTTATTTATTGTAGCAAATATACTACTCTCCTCACAGATAGTGAAAACAGGCTATTGCTCTTCCCATCCATGTAAGTACAGTTTTTTTTTCTAAAGTGTTCCTCAGGAAGAATAACTATGTACATATGAGGGTACTTCATAAAGTTCATGGAAAAATGAAACTAAAAGATAAAGATAAAAAATATAAGCTTTATTTCTCAGCATAAGCTCCATCAAGTTCAAGACACTTTTGTAAGTGATGATACCAGCCATTTAGTCCATCCCTAAAGAACTGAGAGTCCTGGGAATTGAACCATGTCAATGCAGTCTTTTTTTATGTTATTAACTGAAGAAAAATGGGCACCCTTTAAAGATTTTTTTTTAAGATTAGGAAACAAAAAGAAGTCAAAAGGAGCCAAATCAAGACTGGAAGGTGTTTACCTAATGATTTCCCATTGAAACTCTTGCAGAATTGCCCTTGTTTGATAAGAGGAATGTGCAAGAGGATTGTTTGGTGGAGAAGGACTCTCTGATGAATCTTTCTCAGATGTTTTTTGCTGAAGCTTTGGCTAACTTTCTCAAACACTTTCATAACAAGCAAATATTATCATTCTTTGGCCTCCAGAAAGTAAACAAGCAAAATGCCTTGAGCATCCCCCAAAATTGTTGCTGTGACCTTGCCTTGTCTTGTCTGCTTTTGCTTTGACTGGACCACTTATACCTCTCGGTAGCCATTGCTTTGATTGTGCTTTGTCTTTAGGATAATACTGGTAAAGACATGTGTTATCTCCTATTATAATTCTTTGAAGAAATGCTCAGGATCTTGATCCCACTTCTTTAAAATTTCCATTGAAGCCTGGCTGGTTAGCTCAGTTAGTTAGAGCATAGTGCTGGTAACATCAAGGTCCAGGGTTCAATCCCTGTACTGGCCAGCTGCCAAAAAATAAATAAATAAAAACATAAAATTTCCATTGAAAGCTCTGATCTTGTGTGTAGCTGATCTGGGCGCGATAGTTTTGGCACCCATCAAATAGAAAGTTTGCTCTACTTTAATTTTTCAGTGAGACTTGTATAAGCTGAATCAATTGAGATGACTATGGTGTTGGCTATTATTTCTGCTGTTAATTATCAGTCTTCTTCATTTAGGGCACAAACAAGATGAATTTTTTTTCCCACAAATTGGTATGGATGATCTGCTGCCATGGGCTTCATCTTCAACATTGTTTGATCCCTTTTAAGATGAGTTATCCATTTGTAAACTGCTGATTTCTTTGGGGCATTGTGCCCACGAACTTTTTGTAAAACATCAGTGATCTCACTGTTCTCCCACCCAAGTTTCACAACATAAATTTGATGTTTGTTTTCTTCAATTTTAGCAGAATTCATCTTGCTCTGATAGGTGCTCTTTTCTTATCCTTCTTAGTGCCTCAAAATAGTCCCTGTTAAAACATGTTTTAATAAGTTAGTTTTAATAAGTTACTATTTTGGTGCAAAAAATTTTTGCTATCCATGCATAGTTTTTTCATGATATGCATTTTCCATGAACTTTTTGAAGACCTCTCTTATATATTCCTTTTTCTTGGTACTTTATTAAAAAAAATATTAAAATTATAGTGGAAACCCAAGACAATAATTGCTTACAATTCCATCATCTAACCGGTGTTTTTATTTGTCCAATTGCATATTCAATTTTATATATTTATATATGTACAAAACATAGCACAATATGTAAGTACTATAAGATGCCTTTATATTCTACATTTAACCATTAGTATTTCTCCATTTTGCTACACTCTTTTTTCTATTTTTTTAAAAAAATCTCTCCTTTGTCCTTTGTCCCTTTTCTTCTCTCACGTTGTAAGGTAACCAATGTAAACAGCTTGGTGTTTATCTTTACACATTTTTCTATGTTCTTGCAGTCCTACACAATAGTTATGTAGAATTTTTAGGGGGGAGCATGATTTTCTTTTACAAAAAAGAGGCTCAAACTGCATTTTTCTTGTGCTTTTTGTTTACTGTGTTATTGATATCCCACTACGTCAATAGATACAGGTCCAATGCTTTAAAATATTGTTAACGTTCCATAGTATACACATTTTCTTTACACATATTATATTCTTTTTGCCACTTGAGGTTGACCTGTTGTTACATTAATTATGTAAGTCTGCCACCTTAATCTTTTAGGAAGCCTAATAAAAGAGTAGAAGTGGTCCAGCTGAATGATGTGATGGAGACTATGCTAGAGAGGGCTGGTGTGGAAAATCAGGAATATGCAGGACCAACCAAGGTAATTGCAAAGATCAATGTAACCTAGTGGTTAACAGAATGCACACTGGAGACAAGATACCTGGGTTGGAATCCTGACCCTACCATTCGTGAGCTGGTGACTTTGGGCAAGTCATGTAATGTATTTGTGCCTCAATTTTCTCATCTGTAATTTAAGGATAACAATAGTACCTACTTCATAGGGTTGTTGTGGAGGTTAAATGATACAATAAATGGAAAGTGCTTAGAACAGTGCCTGGCATGTGGTAAACACTGTATAATTAATTATTTGTTCTATTATTACTGTATTTCATTGAACATAAGACAGCATTGGTTGTAAGAGCCTTATTATTTTTTGTACCACTACAAAAAAACCTGCCAATTAAACCATGCTTTCTTACCATTTGTAATTTTTCTTTTGTACTCTTTCAGTCTTACATAGATATAGACCTTTTTCTTTATAAGAGCTATTTCTTCTTTTTTTTTTTTTTTTGTCTTTTTTCCGTGTCCGGCAACGGATCGCANATGTTACATCACATTTCTTTATGATGGTGGGTTTCAGAACAGTATTTTGCCAAAGAGAACTAAATGGAACTCATTTTTTTTGTAAATTGTTACAAATTTTGGTATAATTTCAAAAAATTTTGCAAAAATAGGACAAGGAACTCCCGTATACCCTCTATCTTGTTACACTGGGTGTTTGCATTTTGCCTCATTTGCCTTTATGCACGTGCACACACACCTACACACATATTTTAAAACTATTCAAAAGTAAGTTTGAGACATTATGGCCCTCTACCACCAAATACTTTGGTGTATATTTCCTAACAACCCATAAGTTATAGATCTTTTGATGACTTTTTTTTTAGCTCTATAATTTCTTCTACATTTATTAGCTAACACTTTATCATATGGACTCATGTACTAGGACAAGGAACTCCTGTATACCCTCTATCTTGTTACACTGGGTGTTTGCATTTTGCCTCATTTGCCTTTATGCACGTGCACACACACCCACACACATATTTTAAAACTATTCAAAAGTAAGTTTGAGACATTATGGCCCTCTACCACCAAATACTTTGGTGTATACTTCCTAACAACCCATTAGTTATAGATCTTTTGGTGACTTTTATTTTTAGCTCTATAATTTCTTCTACATTTATTAGCTAACACTTTATCATATGGACTCATGTATTTCTGTTTTATTTGATGGATTTTAATTCTTCACTATCGTTATTTATTTTGATGCTCAAATTTTTCTAGATTTGGTCAACGGCAGCTCCTTTGAGCTGGCTCTTGTGTTCTTTAGCTTTGTCCCCATCGTTATTTGAACACTTCCCTATTTTCTGGCTCAAGATTTCTAAGTTCATCTTGTATTTCCCAACTTCAGCCCTGGAATGAGCCATGAGTCACTTCTCAGGGAGTGCTGATTCCTTTTAGTGAAGAAATCAAGATTCTGAGTGCCAGGTGTGCTAATTGCTCCTGGGAAATTATTGCTTCTAGTCCCTCTCATACAGTCGTTTTTGAAACTGTATTTTGAGTATTTATATATTTCAGTAGAGGGCAAAACCAAGGGAAATGCTTATGAACTAGGTGAAGAAAAAAGTTCTATAAATAATAATGAATTTAAAGGATTACCATTTGGTTCTTGGAAAAGTTTCATTGTGATACTCATGGGAACAAGCACTTTCAGAAGACAAACATGGCTGAGAGTTAGGAAACCTGGGTTCTAGTTTCATCTCTGCTTCTATACATTTCATAACCTGTTTAGTCACTTAACTTTGTTGACTTCAATGTTATTATAACACCCTTACACCTTTGAAAAGTCATTTTTAAAAAAATGAATCAAGGAAATTTTTATATTCTGACCTAGTGAGAAATGTCATTAAATCTCCTTTACTAAGAAATGTTTCAAATATGATAAATGTCATTATATCTGTATCTGTAGATGTCTATAGATATTTAGGTATGATCTTGTGTGCAAATGATGGACCTTTTTGATTGCCTCCATGCTTTTTAATTCCATGAGGTTCTATGTTCATCATTTTGTGATATTTTCTAACTCCAGCCCTGGAATGAGCCATGAGTCACTTTTCAGGGAGTACTGATTCCTTTTAATGGAGAATGGTACTTGGAAACCAAGATTCTGGGTGCTAGGTATGCTAATTCATAAACAGGCCAGAAAATTTTCTTACATTAACATTTTCCTGTCTTATTTATTGTAGCAAATATACTACTCTCCTCACAGATAGTGAAAACAGGCTATTGCTCTTCCCATCCATGTAAGTACAGTTTTTTTTTCTAAAGTGTTCCTCAGGAAGAATAACTATGTACATATGAGGGTACTTCATAAAGTTCATGGAAAAATGAAACTAAAAGATAAAGATAAAAAATATAAGCTTTATTTCTCAGCATAAGCTCCATCAAGTTCAAGACACTTTTGTAAGTGATGATACCAGCCATTTAGTCCATCCCTAAAGAACTGAGAGTCCTGGGAATTGAACCATGTCAATGCAGTCTTTTTTTATGTTATTAACTGAAGAAAAATGGGCACCCTTTAAAGATTTTTTTTTAAGATTAGGAAACAAAAAGAAGTCAAAAGGAGCCAAATCAAGACTGGAAGGTGTTTACCTAATGATTTCCCATTGAAACTCTTGCAGAATTGCCCTTGTTTGATAAGAGGAATGTGCAAGAGGATTGTTTGGTGGAGAAGGACTCTCTGATGAATCTTTCTCAGATGTTTTTTGCTGAAGCTTTGGCTAACTTTCTCAAACACTTTCATAACAAGCAAATATTATCATTCTTTGGCCTCCAGAAAGTAAACAAGCAAAATGCCTTGAGCATCCCCCAAAATTGTTGCTGTGACCTTGCCTTGTCTTGTCTGCTTTTGCTTTGACTGGACCACTTATACCTCTCGGTAGCCATTGCTTTGATTGTGCTTTGTCTTTAGGATAATACTGGTAAAGACATGTGTTATCTCCTATTATAATTCTTTGAAGAAATGCTCAGGATCTTGATCCCACTTCTTTAAAATTTCCATTGAAGCCTGGCTGGTTAGCTCAGTTAGTTAGAGCATAGTGCTGGTAACATCAAGGTCCAGGGTTCAATCCCTGTACTGGCCAGCTGCCAAAAAATAAATAAATAAAAACATAAAATTTCCATTGAAAGCTCTGATCTTGTGTGTAGCTGATCTGGGCGCGATAGTTTTGGCACCCATCAAATAGAAAGTTTGCTCTACTTTAATTTTTCAGTGAGACTTGTATAAGCTGAATCAATTGAGATGACTATGGTGTTGGCTATTATTTCTGCTGTTAATTATCAGTCTTCTTCATTTAGGGCACAAACAAGATGAATTTTTTTTCCCACAAATTGGTATGGATGATCTGCTGCCATGGGCTTCATCTTCAACATTGTTTGATCCCTTTTAAGATGAGTTATCCATTTGTAAACTGCTGATTTCTTTGGGGCATTGTGCCCACGAACTTTTTGTAAAACATCAGTGATCTCACTGTTCTCCCACCCAAGTTTCACAACATAAATTTGATGTTTGTTTTCTTCAATTTTAGCAGAATTCATCTTGCTCTGATAGGTGCTCTTTTCTTATCCTTCTTAGTGCCTCAAAATAGTCCCTGTTAAAACATGTTTTAATAAGTTAGTTTTAATAAGTTACTATTTTGGTGCAAAAAATTTTTGCTATCCATGCATAGTTTTTTCATGATATGCATTTTCCATGAACTTTTTGAAGACCTCTCTTATATATTCCTTTTTCTTGGTACTTTATTAAAAAAAATATTAAAATTATAGTGGAAACCCAAGACAATAATTGCTTACAATTCCATCATCTAACCGGTGTTTTTATTTGTCCAATTGCATATTCAATTTTATATATTTATATATGTACAAAACATAGCACAATATGTAAGTACTATAAGATGCCTTTATATTCTACATTTAACCATTAGTATTTCTCCATTTTGCTACACTCTTTTTTCTATTTTTTTAAAAAAATCTCTCCTTTGTCCTTTGTCCCTTTTCTTCTCTCACGTTGTAAGGTAACCAATGTAAACAGCTTGGTGTTTATCTTTACACATTTTTCTATGTTCTTGCAGTCCTACACAATAGTTATGTAGAATTTTTAGGGGGGAGCATGATTTTCTTTTACAAAAAAGAGGCTCAAACTGCATTTTTCTTGTGCTTTTTGTTTACTGTGTTATTGATATCCCACTACGTCAATAGATACAGGTCCAATGCTTTAAAATATTGTTAACGTTCCATAGTATACACATTTTCTTTACACATATTATATTCTTTTTGCCACTTGAGGTTGACCTGTTGTTACATTAATTATGTAAGTCTGCCACCTTAATCTTTTAGGAAGCCTAATAAAAGAGTAGAAGTGGTCCAGCTGAATGATGTGATGGAGACTATGCTAGAGAGGGCTGGTGTGGAAAATCAGGAATATGCAGGACCAACCAAGGTAATTGCAAAGATCAATGTAACCTAGTGGTTAACAGAATGCACACTGGAGACAAGATACCTGGGTTGGAATCCTGACCCTACCATTCGTGAGCTGGTGACTTTGGGCAAGTCATGTAATGTATTTGTGCCTCAATTTTCTCATCTGTAATTTAAGGATAACAATAGTACCTACTTCATAGGGTTGTTGTGGAGGTTAAATGATACAATAAATGGAAAGTGCTTAGAACAGTGCCTGGCATGTGGTAAACACTGTATAATTAATTATTTGTTCTATTATTACTGTATTTCATTGAACATAAGACAGCATTGGTTGTAAGAGCCTTATTATTTTTTGTACCACTACAAAAAAACCTGCCAATTAAACCATGCTTTCTTACCATTTGTAATTTTTCTTTTGTACTCTTTCAGTCTTACATAGATATAGACCTTTTTCTTTATAAGAGCTATTTCTTCTTTTTTTTTTTTTTTTTTTTTTTTTTTTTTTGTCTTTTTGTCTTTTTCCGTGTCCGGGAGCGGATCGCAACCCTCAG